TTTAATTCTCGGCGGACACAACATCTTTGTTGGTATGTGGTGCTGAGGATCGAACCCGGGCCGCACGCATGCCAGGCGAGCGCGCTACCACTTGAGCCACATCCCCAGCCCAAAAGTTGACTTTTAAACTGACATTAAGAACAAAAATTATAGACATTAATACACATGGGGTACAATGTGACATTTTGATACGTGAATACATTTTGTGATGCTTAAGTCAGGTTGAACATACCTATTTCCTCAAATATGGATCACTTCTTAATGGTGAAACATTCAAGATCCTTCTAGCTTTTCAAAACTGTACAGTAATTATTGCTATCTATAACCACCCTGCTATGCAACAGCATCCCAGAACTTCTTGCTCTTATCCAACTATAGGTTGGTACCCACTGTTCAACTACTCTATATAACTTCCAGACTAATGGGGTCCTTGAAAAGAGTATTTTGTTTTATTTTATTTTTTATTAAATTATTTATTTATTCAAATTTGTTATATATGAGGCAGAATGCAATCATTTCACATTACACATAGAGAGCACAATTTTTCAAGTCAAAAAGATACTTTAACACATATATAATGACATACGGAGTTCACTGGTGAGGCTCAGGTAAAAAACAGGTTCTGTAGGAATACGATCATTCTCCAGTGCCTCCTGCATCAAGCCTGATCAATGGGCTGTCACAGCCTGGCTCCAATCTAGCTTACTTCCCATGAGGCTCTGGCACCTTGGCAACCTGTAGCCAAGGAAGATTTGCAGAGGTTCTCAGGAGGACACTGTTCTTCACTTATCTATTTGCTCTTACCCTTACCCTTCAGGTAGAAAACATCTACAGTGGGCAAGGCCAGTGCTAGAGAGCATCTAGAGTACACACAGAGCCCCCTGAAACCCAAAGCCTTCCTGATAACTTTATGAAAAGGACAAAAGTACCCTAAGAGAAGAACACATGACCCTCTCAGACAGCTAGGGCAGGATGAGTATCCCTTTTCAGAAATGCTTGGAACCAAAAGTATTTTGGATTTTTTTATTTTCTTCTGTTTTGAATATTATAATATTTGCATATACATAATGAAATATCAAATCTAAATACAAAATTTACTTGGTTCATATATACTTTGAATAAATAGCCTGCAGGTAACTTTATATAATTGATGTGAACATACTTTATATACAGAGATATGAAAAATTGTGCTCTATATGTGAAAAAAGGATTGTAATGCTTTCCACTGTTGACATGTATTTTAAAAAAATAATAAAATCAATTAAAAAATATATAAGTGCACTAGCATTTTGAATGTGACACATCACAAAAAGTCAGGCATGGAATTTTCCACTTGTGCCATCATGTGGGTGTTCAGAGTGTTTCAGATTTCGGATTTCAGGTCTGGGATAAGGGTTGCTTCATAGGAAGACAACTGAAAAATCCCAATGAGGTGAGATTTGAAAAGAGCTGTGAAAATCAGATAATATTCAAGAGAACCATGGGAAGCAAGCAAAGAGTTGCAGAGGGTAGAATCGCTTGAGAACAGAAAAGAACTCCAGCAAGTCTAGGAGGTCCTTAGGAATGGCATGCACATGTCATTTACACACGGGGTGCATGGGGTCACCATGAAGGGGACATGCAGAGCTCCAGGACAGTCACATGCTGCCCACAAAAGTCAAGGGGAGGGGCTCAGATGAAGATGAAATCTCCGTTTTGAAAACTGACTTTGAGTTATTCATTGCATGTTATTGAGTTATAGAAGATGACCCTTCCAAATCTAAACATACGGGCATAAGACATTACAGAACCCACATTAATATAAAGTCTTCTGGTGGAAATTATTGTTCTCTAAAATTTATCTACTATCTCCACATTTCACTTCTGAGAATTAAAAAAAAAAAACATAATATCAGCTGAGCTTTTCAAAAAACCTTTACCGACCACTTTCTCTTCGCCTGATGCGAAAACTGTTTCCTCAAAACCTATGGCATATTTTGACAGTTAACCAAAATGAGCAAATAGCTTCCCTTGTGTTTACCTATTTCCAACTATTGAATAACCATTAATTTAGATTTTTAAAGACATTTATGGAATGTGTCAATGTTAGCTGATTAGACACCATAGAATTACGTGTTTTTTAAATGTATCTGCAATGAAAAAGAATTACTTTAAAACTATAGCGATTACAACGATTTCTGAAACAACTCAATGGGAAGAACTTTCTTTTTTTTTTWAAGACAGACTCTAACATAAAACATACATGTCGGGACCACAGGCCAATACTTTCCTTTAGGCTTCACATGTATCATTGGTAAAATGATTATAGGAATAATCTGCATGAGCTTCACATGAGTTAGAGATGGTGCCAGAAAACAAATCTAAGAACCATCTGGAATTTTTATTATCATTTTTACCTCATTTCTTGGCACTTCAGATTGTTTTCAATTAGAAACCTCTGGCTAGCAGTAGCAAAATTCATTCTCCAAGATGCCTGACAAAGGAAACACTTAATAAAGGACAGTAGCTACAGATCTGCAATTCCCCACAGATACAAAGAAATACATTCAAATGCTGCCAAAGCGGCCTAAGTTTTCAGAATTGCAACACTAATTATGCCAGCAACAGGGCATTGCTATTGGACCCCCACATGGCATAAAGTGACAACAGACCAGATTTCAAAAAGACCATTTCCTGGATCAAACTGTCCTTCACTTCTTTAGAAAAGTCTCCCTTGTTATGCACTCTGCAGCTGTGACAGTAATTTGCCACATCCCATAGACCATCATGTCTTCAATTTTCAGTGATTTACTCTGACACTTTGCCTCAGTGCCTAAACCAAGCATACATCTTCCTGAAGAGTGTCACATTTAGGTGCCTTTAAAGAACTGACTACATTTAAATCACAGAAAATTATGATTTTCTCTTTTCAAAGGGAGACAAATGACAGCCCAGTCATGCGGTAAATGAAACAAACAGCAGAATCATTTTCTAACCAACTTTCACACTTTTTCTTTAATCCCACACATGGGGAACAGGGGATCAAGTAGAAATGCATCTTTATTCTGTTCTGCCAGAAAACACCTGACCTTGGGCGTCTCTGGCTTTTCTTTAGGTCTGAAGTGGTTTGCCTGTTCCTTCTTAGCACTTTCCTATGTCCTTTTCCCAAGCAAAACAGAAATATAGCTGGTGCTCAAGGTTTCACACTTGGCCTTCAATGTGCTAAGCCTCCTGCCCTCGGTCACTTCATGACTTCAGTAAGACTTTTAGCCAGATTCCCTTTTCTTCTTATCTCCCACCTGAACATCAGACCCACGTTGCTGTTGCTGGGTCTCCTACTAGAGCTTACCATTCTTTTTTAGGAATCTTTACCTTGCTATGTTTCAAATAAAGGTCCTGTCTTCCTTTACTGAAATCTAGGCTGCAAATCTTGAGATTTCCCTTTTTTTCAATTTGCTTCAAGTTTTATTATATTCAAATATCTAATAGTACGTCATTACCCAGGCATGATGATGGGAAAATAAGGAATTTATAGGCATTCAAATCTTTTTACAATTCTGATCTGCAGAAAATTCAGTTACTAGAATTGAGTTAAGCAACATCAGCTTACCAACAGTACTACCCAAATTTCTTTCTTTCTTTCTTTCTTTTTTTTTTTAACCTGGATGGCAGCATTAGAACTTTATTTTCTTCCAAATGAGATCAATTAATTTCTTGAACCTGCATTCTGTCTGGAGGCAGAAAATGGCAATCATTACAGTAGAAACAAAGAGCTCAAAACAGTTTAAAACCAAGCTGTGTGCCTGGGCTCAGTAGCCCACTGGTGAGAAATATCTGCAGTTGTCACATGATGGCAGACTGGTAAAAAACAAGGTCAAACTGGGTGTTTTGCCTATTTCCAGGACAGTAATCTGCATCCAAGTCATTGTAAAAAAAAACCTGCAAAAGCAGTGCCCAGGTGTTAGTTCTTTTCTTTTCTTTTTCTTTTATTTTTTAAAGGCACACTCATACACTGCTGGTGGGACTGCAAATTGGTACAGCCAATTTGGAAAGCAGTATGGAGATTCCTTGGAAAGCTGGGAATTGAACCACCATTTGACCCAGCTATTCCTCTTCTYAGACTATACCCAAAGACCTAAAAAACAGAATACTACAGGGACATAGCCACATCAATGTTTATAGTAGCACAATTCACAATAGCTAGACTGTGGAGCCAACCTAGATGCCCTTCAATAGATGAATGGATAAAAAAAAAAATGTGGCATATATACACAATGGAATATTACTCAGCACTAAAAAATAATAAAATCATGGCAAATTTACAGGGAAATGGAAGGCATTAGAGCAGATTATGCTAAGTGAAGTTAGGCAATCCCCCAAAAAACAAATGCCAAATGTCTTCTTTGCTATGGGGGGGGTGACTCAAAATGGGGAAGAGAGGAAGAGCATGGGAAAAAAGATTACTTCTACATAAGGAAGAGGGGTGGGAGGGAAAGGGAGAGAGAAAGGGAATTGCATGGATGGTGGAAGGAGACCTCACTGTTATACAAAATATATGTATGAAGATACGAGGAAAAAAAAAGAACAGCACTACCTTAGATGAGGTAGAGACAAGTGATGGGAGGGGAGGCGAGGGGTTGGGGAGATAGGAAGGATAGTAGAAAGAAACAGACATTATTATTACTGTGTGTATATATGTGACTGCATGACCAATGTGATTCTGCAACCTGTATACTCAGAAAAATGGGATATTGTATCCCATGTGATTCAAATCTTGAGATTTCTTTCTTTCCTCCCACTAACACCAGCCAGCTCAGCCTTGATCAGCATTCTCACAAACCATCCACTCACCCTCTGTTCCTTCGGCCCTTCCATCTGTTTTAAATATTATCTAATGCATACTTTCTCCTCTTGGCCCTATCTCCAAATTCACACAGAACAGGAGATGGTTGTACAAAAAAGTATCCGAACATTAACTATGACACTATCGGAACTAGAGGAACAAAACGCTAAAGAATCAATAAGCATTTCAGGAAAGAAATGACCTCTGAACGGACCGACACTGAATTAAAGGAAATTTCTGGATACTGGGCAAATGGCTAAGCTACTCCATTCAGACCCCATTGCTTGATGATTTATGATCGGTAAACCTTCTGCTTTCTTATGCACAGAACTCCCTCCCTTTTTATTCCTGGTTACTAGCCACACACCTAAATCCGGTGTATATTTCTCAAGGAAAAGGAGCTTCATAATAAAAAGAACAGTTCCCTCCTCAGCACTTCCCTTTGCTTCTCCTCTATCTTTTGTTCCTAAAAAGCCCTTACATCACAATACAATATATATTCTTCATACACACACACACACATATAGTACATGTGTGGTTTGAAGARAACTCACAGAAGTACCAATTAAACCATGTCACAGCTAAAGAAATAGAAAATTACCAACATCATCGAAGCTTCTCATAAATCCTCCCTAATTGTGTCCCCTTAAAATGACAGGGTTACCTTTAACCTTTATATTTCACTTTTAGTTCTTTAAAGTTTACATGTGTCACTGAACTGTACAACATTTAGTTCTTCATGGTTTTGAACGATATACAAATAAAACTGAACTGTACACATTTCTTCTGCCATTTGATTTTTTTCATCCCACTTTATGGATCCAACATTCACTATGTTGATGTGAATTGCTAGTTCATTGATTTTTGCTGCTCTGTTATATCACATTTATGCATATGTCAAGATTAAACAAATTTTACTATTAAAAATGCTACTATAAATCTTGTACACATCTCTGGTGCAGTCCTATAGAACCTTCAAACTCAAATCGTTCACTTAGTACGTCCTGAGTGACCTGTACTCTGCACCAGAAATTACATGAAGCCCTAAGTAGAGAAGAACATAGACTCATCCCTCTCGTAAAAGCTTGATTCATTTGGAGAGACAGATAATAAGTGCATAGATATAATATTAACAATTATGACCCTTGGCCTTAGTGCCTGAGTCAAACCCATGACAAGTATCATGTAAGGAAAGAAGAGATTCCGTGAGATGTCACAGCAGGAGTAAGCTGCTTCAAAGGGAGAAGCTTCAGAGAGCCAAGTTAAAATACAGATGGCAGCCAAATTGAGACCCAAAGGAAGAGAACACAGTAGCCATGGGACGAATACAGGCTAAAAGTGCTAGGACAAGAGCATTTCAGGAGGAACAGATACCAAGTCTACCATTTCAGGAAGCAAAGTAAGAAATGGTGAGAGTCCACAGGGGGAGCAAATTGTAGGAGATGGACATAGAGACAGGCCATTTCCCTCTAAGGGCAACAGACATCTGCTTACAGGGGCACTGAGCCTACAGACAACATTCTCACTTTGAGTTTGAGTTCTTTAAGCCTGAGAAGCCAGTCTCCTCGTTGTTTCACCTATACGATCTTGGAGTCCTAAACATGAGTGACTAATGGCAGAACAGCCACAGAGTGCTCCCTTATTAAGGCATTACACTGGGGGTGGATCTGCACAGCATGAGCGCTGACCCTGACCAACAGCAGTTCTGAACCCTTGGACCACGACTCTGTCACATAAGGCGGGCATATGTTGCTCAGGTGGGGAACTGTCATTACAGGCAATCATAAAGCACTAGGGAAATCAGAGGCAGGTGGGATTTGCTTGTAAATGTTGCCGAAAGAGGTAAATTTTTAACAGAATTTGGGAGGAATAAAGGGTTACAGACCATTGCCGCGGAGTGGTCAGAACATACTGAGTAAACAGAGAGGATGGGAGAGGAAGGAGCCGATTAATCATAAACAGGCCCCGACTGGAGCCCAGAGGAGGCCAAAGGCAATGGCAAAGAAGACTCGGTGGCTTCTTTGTGCAGGAGATGGACACAGAGACAGGCCAGGCTGTCCCCACACTACCCAGCACTCCCCTGTGCACTACAAAATGACCTTTAGTGTAGAAGTTGGAGCAGTCTCTTTTCTGTTCCTTTCAGGCTTAAAAATGAGCTGAAAGAGGGAGCTTTTCTTCAGGGTCACAAGAATCAACAGAAACAAACACCAAACACGTCAACCTGCTTATCCACCCAGAAGTATTACCAAAAGACTGGGACCCATGTTCATAATGATACAAAGTGGGCTTCTGTCTGCGGAGATTGTGGCTGAGTCATCTGTCCTCATTTCGTAGCTCATCAGGCCTGAGAAGCCCTTCTAGACCTGTCAGCTGGGTAGTGGACACGCAGCTGACCCTTTTTCAAAACTGCTGTCACTGCAGACTCGCTGAGTGGACTGAACGCCCTTTCTGTGTGTTCATAATCTACTTCGATTCTCTTCTCACTTGACATACGGGGCCCTACTGGAGCATCTTGGCTCCCATTTTTTTGCACTGGTCATTTGGTGACACTGGCTGTAACCACCAGAGCCTGCTCATTATCTCTGGGACTCTGTGGATCATTCAAGAATCAATGTCACCTCAATCTTCCCTTTCCTGCCTTATCTGCAGGTATTTCTCAGCCCTTTCGACTTCTCTTCCACACAGAACTTAGGTTATTTTTTTTCTTAAAGCTTGGTGCTGCTGTTTTCTTGAGTGCTTGAACCTCTCTATTAACTCTCATGTAGGCAGCTTGAATGGTTAATTTCTATTAATTTTTAAAGAGTAAAATTTTCAACCCCAACATCATTTTTCTAAGAGTAATGTTTTACAGTTTCACTGAACCAACTATTCATGGAACAACTATTAGTAAAAGACAGCAAACCAAGAGCACATGAAACTTTTCAAATTATCTTAAAAGTATAGGCAAACATCATTTTCTGTAGCAACTGACAAGACCTAAATGTTCTTGGATAAACTCAATCATTAAAACCACAACCACAAATGGCTTAAATCTATATGCTCTATCATAAGTACTTATATTTCTATTTAATTTTATGTTGTGTTGGGGGGAAATAACCTTTTGGCAAAATATCTATCACAGAATACTATGAACAAACCCTCCACAGGAAAAATATGTTGATACTACTAAAAGTCCCAAGATATTTTAAAGAAGAAAATAGAGACTTTTCTCTAATTTGCTAAGGTAAAAGTTCCCATTTGGATCAGAAACGTGATTAATGTTTCTTTAATATATGATCATATGGGAATAAACTGTTTGGAGCTCTACACTTCTAAATGAATACAAAGCAGTAAAAAGGCAATGACCTACTACTGTGATTTCATGATTTAATGCTTTTAAATTGGGTGGCAGCATAATTTTTGAAAAAGCTTTTTATGTTACTCCTGTGTTTTGGTTAATTTTGTACTCCAACTGCGAATGGCATATGTTCATTTGTGTTACTCCTGCATTCTGTTGGGGCAAATAATGAAGCATTTATAGAAACACAGCYAACTCCTTGAGTGAGGTGCACGGCAAATCAGATTAACTCTGCAAATGCATCGCCAGTTCCATTTATCTTTGTTGGGAGGGGAATCCAAAGAACAGAGTGAGGAACTTTGTTAGAATAACTCACAACATAGTGCTTTTTGCAGTCTTCGGATCTTGATTGCTGTACGGTAGGCAGAGAAACGTACGTTATTCAGGTCGGCTGAAATGGAAGAAAGAACAATTTAAAAGTGTGCTTATGATTTGACTTCCACGGAATGCTAAAAAATGTATTTGCTTACTCTGGATGATGGAAATCATTATGTCTATCTGCAATAAAAAGCCTTCTCCTAAATTTCCCATCTATTTAGGAAAATAATTAAATGGTGGTTAGCCCCCAATGGAGACATATTTCTAAAAAACGCTATGCAGAAAATACCAAAGTGGGGCTGGGGATGTGGCTCAAGCAGTAGCGCGCTCGCCTGGCATGCATGCGGCCCGGGTTCGATCCTCAGCACCACATACAAAGATGTTGGGCCCGCCAAAAACTGAAAAATAAATATTAAAAATTCTCTCTGTCTCTCTCTCTCTCTCACCTCTCTCTTAAAAAAAAAAAAGAAAAGAAAAAAAAAGAAAATACCAAAGTGCAGTGCTTCGGCAYGCTAAGTTCTTCAAATGAAGGCGATCAGAACGTACCCAGAAGAGAGGATTTCTAACCTTCTCCATTCCTTCTGACTCACATGCCTCTTTCTCCCCTGAAGCAAGTCGCAGAAAGCAGAATTCCTGTCCTTTGGCAAGCTATGGAAACTAGAAATTTTCTTCTCCAAAATAAGGCATAAAACCTAGAAGGATCAGTCTCTGATCTTCTCCCTCCTTCCCTGAAGACTCTCACATGAGGTGTCTTGACCAATATGTGGAAGGAAAAAATGCCACTCAGAGGCCAAGAAAAAATCTGAACAGAGAGGCCCCCAAACTTCCCTCTCAGTCTATTACCATTAAGTTGGACCCTTCTGCCTAATCACACTTGTACGTGGCTGTCATTCTTCATTAGCCTAGGCATAAACATCGAAAGTTTCTATTCCCCCGGGACTTTGGGTCTTCATTTCTCAATACCCTGTGTTATGTAAAACTTTAACTAAACGTATTTGCTTTGCTTTTCTCTAGTGAACCTGTCTGTGTTACAGGAGCATCAACCACAACCCTCATGACAGATGAGCAAAGGGATTGCACCTTTCTGGCCTCATACAGGAAAAGAAGAAAGATGAGGAAAAGGAAGCCCAGTCGCTATTCAGACCTCATACACTCCACTCCTGCTCCAGGGGTTCTCCTCCAGGGCACTGTCCCTAAGGACAATTAGTTGTCTGTCCACCAAGCTATCTCACTACTCATAAAGCTGATCTATTCTACACTCCTTCCATTTTATTTGCTTCTTCTGACCTTCTATGAATCTGGTTGAAATGATTCTATGATCAATATTTACATCTTTTAAATAAAGGCTACTCTAATTTCTTCTTCTGTTCCCTAAAGTCAGAGAATCAGACACTAGCAGACTTACAGGGAAACTCATATAACATCAAAATTTGGCCCCCTCTCTTTCAGACTAAGCAAACCAGTGGCTTTTCTCTTGTTTATTGGACTTTTGCACTCCATTTCCTACCAAATGAAAGCTCATGCAAGAAGCCAAATGCTTAAGAGATGTGTATGTACTTGTTGAAGTGGGAATGGGAGGATTAGGATGCTTGGTCCCTCCAGCACAGTCTTAGTTACTCAAAGAGAAACTTTAAAAATCACTGGACCAACCTGAAGGAAACAGGCCAAGTGATCGACTGAAATCCATAGTTTATAGCAACTAAAACAAGAGCATCTAATGTGTTTTCTTCCATTTTTTAATATTAAAATGAATCTAGCTGTTCATGACGTAAACAAAATAAAATTGGGTAAGCTAATTTGATAAAATCTGCTAAATAAAAAGAGAGCTAAAAGCAAATTTAAAGCAGTGGATTGGAGGTTTCTGTTTTGGGAGTCACTGGGTATTGGACCCAGGGATGCTTACCCACTGAGCCACATCTATATCCCTTTTTTAAAAAAATATTTTATTTTGAAACAGAGTTTCACTAAGTTGCTTAGGGCCTCACTAAGTTGCTAAAGCTGGCTTTGAACTTATAATCCTCCTGCCTTGGCCTCCTGAGTCGCTGGAATCACAGGCCTGGGCCACTGAGCCCAGTTATTTGTTTGTTTGTTTTGCATGCAAAGCCAAAGTTTAAGATGACCCAATATGAGGGAGGTAAAATGTACAATTACATTCCCCCTAGTAAATGTACTCTTGCTCTCTTTCAACTAATATGTTCACAATACCTATTTACTGCACTGCCTTTAGAAGTTCAATTGCTTTTCTTTTGAGGGGGTGGGATTGGGGAGTGAACCTTGAGGCCCTCTACCAATGAGCTGCATTCTGAGTCCTTGTTTTTTGTTTTAAGGCAGGGTCTCTGTAAGTTACCCAGGCTGGCCTCAAACCTGTGAGCCTTCTACCTCTGCAATTGCTGGGATTCCAGGTGTGTGCTGCCTTAAACTGCTTTTAAGTGTCAATGACATGATTCTTTTCATATTATATGCCAGATAAGAAAAATGAGTGACTAGTTTCCTTTGAAGAATATACAGTTCTCACCTATTCAGGTTAATGCCTTACTATTAAACAAAATAATACTAACCAAGGGATTGAAAGAGTTCGGTCATTTTAGGATGATCCCAACAGGTCGTCTGTGTTTGATGGCTGGAGAAAAAAAAAAAAAAAAAAGAAAAATTCCCCAAATAAGCAAAACACAACAAAATATAATTCACAAATAAAACACACAAACAGAATTTTCCAAAAAATTTTATACAAACATGAAAAACAATTATTACTCATTAAGGGAACATCAATAAGAAATTTCATTTGAGCAAATATGTTATGAATAGACAAATGAAAAGACTTTTGTTTTTACCCATGTCAAAAAGAATTGCAACAACATATTAAAACGTAGATATAAAGAATGACTGTCACAAATCCTTTGGCCCCAGGCTTGATCAACCCACAGTCCAGGATAATTCCACTCCAGTTAAGCAGATATAGATTCTCATTCAGAACAAATCCTCTGACAGCAGAAGTGCTGTGAAGAATCACTACACTTTAGAAGTCTTCATCGAATTTCTAAACACTGAGAAATGAAGAGTTTAATTCCGAATAAACCTCCACCTCTCGGTTGATGAGGATCCTTGCTCTTCAACCCTAGGTTTCTTTCCTCAGAGCAAATCTGCTCTTTCACCCCTTTCTGGGATTCTGGGCATGACACCTTGGCATGACACCTTTCTTCTTTTGACCTTATGCCCCTCTTTATGCCCCCTTATTTCAGTTTCCCTCAGTAAACAGTATTATTATTTTTCTACAAATTGAGCCACTTTACTCGGATCCTTATTCTTCACTTTAAAGCACATTTTCAGTTTTGTTTCTTCTGTAAATTCCAAAACTAATTCATATATCGGTTGGAAGTCTTTGGGGGAATAAGATAAGGGTAAAACTGGTAAATGTAGTGTTTAAATTAGGTCCCTTAGTGTGTGTGTGTGTGTGTGTGTGTGTGTGTGTGTGTTAAACAGCTCATAACTTTGATGGGCTAGTGGCCTTGTATTTAAAAATAGCTTACTCTCCTTTATCTAGGTCAGAATAGATTAATAACATTTAATAGTACTCCAAAGACTTCTTAGATGACACTCAATTCTGTTTAGTAAGCTAAGTGAAATTGCACACTATACAAGAAAGATGATATTAAAATATTCATAAAAGCAAATTTAAGAAAAAATATTCGTTTTAAAATCTATACCTACATTTCTGTAAAAACTATTGGGCAGGAACTCAAGCTTTCTGATCTAAATTCTACCACACATAGTGTGGCCAAGAGCTTGGCAGAAATGCAGAATATCAGGAAGAACATCCTCTCTTCCATCAACAAGAATTAAAAGACAATTTGCTAAAAATGCAGCATTAATCCAGCATGCCACCATGGGCTCCTGGTCTCAGCCTTCCAAGATTCAGTACATAACTCCTCTTGGGTTTTGAGTGATTTCAATCCCCATGACAACACTACTCCACAGAGACAGATATCCCACTGTGAGAGAAGGAACCACGGCTCAAGGACCAAACCAAAGGTCTCATTAAAGCAGGGCCAGACTTTATAGATCACAAATAAAAGGATGCTCCCTCTAGAATCACAGGTGTGCAGCTTCACCTCACACAACCCCTGTGGAACCAGAGGGGGAAATACTACCATCGGGTCAGCAGAGGACCAAGAATTCAAGGCGAACACTCCTTGCTAATGGCTCTCTTGAGTAACACCACTGTGTACCAGGAGCTGAGGGAACACACACACACACACACACACATTTGGCAAACAGATGGAGACAGGGAACCGGCATCTCCTTTCGTGAATTCAATACCAGTTGATTCATTAGACAGAACTGCCAACGCTGAAAATAAATAAAGCTTCTGGTTGCAAAAGTAAAACTACAGCTTACAAAATAACAGTTAAAAAAAAAAAAAAGAAAAACTAGTAGATGCTGTTGGCTGCTAGGTTTCTTTTTTTAAGAGGGAAGAGAGAGTTAGTACAAAACCCACAATGAACCTAAAGGCTCAAAGTATTTGAATAACTGCAGATTGCTCGGCAACTCTTGCCAAAATGCTTCCAATTTCTCCCAGAGTAGGCAACCAAAACAGAATCAAAGTAGCGCCCCCAACTCCCCAAATAACAACAGCCAAGCTTCCAGCTAATCTCAAATATGAGATGGGAGTGGAGCTTAATATTGGGCAGCTTGATAAACTAGCATATAAAATTATAGATTTGTTACTAAAAATCTTATTAAAAGGCAATAGGCACAGGAATCAGTCCAAGAAAAAAATGAAAAATTAAATAAAGCAGTTAAATCTAACAAAGCAGTTAAGTCCAAAATCTATGAAGCTAACAATAGTGAGAATAGCTGCCATCCAAGGAGGGTGCCCAGACATCCCAGTTTTGCCTTTGTAGCGACAGACTGCAAAGGCCTTTGATGGGTGCAAAAAATTAGAGGTTATATGTTGTGAGGTGTGCCCCAAGAGCTCATGTATGAGACAATGTAAGAAGTTTAGAGGAGAAATGAGTTATAGAGCCTTAACCCAACTGAAGGCAGGTAGGGTGTGGCTGGAGGAGGTAGGGTATTGGGGCATGGCTTTGCAGTACTTATTTGTATTTAGTGAGTGGAGATATCTCTCTCTCTCTCTCTCTCTCTCTCTCTCTCTCTCTCTCTCTCTCCTTCCTGATTGTTATGCGAGCCACTTGCCTCCACCATAATCTTCCAGGATGCAAAAGACTGCTATCTATGGATTTGAGTACCTCTGAAACTATGAGCCCCCAAATAAAGTTTTCCTCCTCTACAGTTTTTCTGGTTAGGTTCTTCAGTCACAACAGAGAAAAAGCTGACTAAAACAGTATCCTGTAAAGTTTAAATTATCTTTGAGCTATTTTAAACTCTGTACACTGAAGAAAAGTGATAATAATGCATGTTTTATGTCTATGGATATGTAAATTGTGTCCCTGGAATGCAACTGGCTATTGCTGGGTGGATACAGACTACTTAGTCAGCCTTACATCTTTATGTAAATTCATCTTAGGGTTCCTTGTTTGACTCTAGAGCTGTAGTACTTTGTCTTCTCCTTGGAGCCTGCTATAACTTCTGTTTCTACCTTATTAATGAGTTAAATATAATATCTGACTCATGCTGTTTATGTGTTTGCATATATTTTGTGAATTATCCTTCAACATCTGTGACAGTCCTTCTTTATACTGGACTCTATACAGGAATTACATGTCAGTATCTTGATATGATTATTAAAAGTGCCCCTTTACTCTTAAGTTTCCCAGTTGAGATAATACATAATCCCCACACTTTATGGGCTTCAAAGAAATATCACATGACTAAGATTAATAAACAGGATATGCCTCTACTTGTTATTATTCAGAATAATGTACTCTAGGAAGCCATAGAAAGTAAAATACAAATAAGACAATATACAAACAAAACCCCAAAGGCTGCATAATAGAACGGCCTACAGGAGGCCATGAACCAATAACAAAGCACAGATACTTTTGATCAATTGGGAAGATACTGATTTCTGGGCAAACAACCTCTCTGGGAAAGATATTTTTAAAACCCATTAGTTTTCACTAGACTAGTCTTATTTTTTCCCCCTGAAACCTTAGAAGACGATCAGAAAGCATCTTACTTGCCCCAAAACTGACATGTAGCTAAATATACTCATTACTACCTAAATAGTTTTATGCTTCTACTGGATTCTGTGAACTTTGCTATTTATCACTTCATTCCAATTATAAAGATAAAGGCATATCAGAAAAATAAAGAAAAATAAAGGGGAGTGAGTTAATGAAAAAAATACAAATGTGAGAAAAAGAACTAGTATATTGTTCGGCAACAAGACAGTGACAGAGAAACAGCCTTCCTTGTTGTCAAGGGAGAGATGACACAGTAGGTCAGAATGTACACAGCTAATTACAGTAATAGTCTAATATTCTAGGGCTCATGTTGTGATTTTCTATGTAGAAAACTTTTCTTTTTTTTTTTAAAGAGAGAGAGAGAGAGAAAATTTTAATATTTATTATTTTTTAGTTTTTGGCGGACACAACATCTTTGCTTGTATATGGTGCTGAGGATCGAACCCGGGCCGCACGCATGCCAGGCGAGCGCGCTACCGCTTGAGCCACATCCCCAGCCTGAAAACTTTTCTACATATAAAATTTTCTACCTGTAAACTCACTCTACAGTAAAATGCCAAGATGTATGTGACAGTCCTCTCCCCATTTTACAGATAAAGGAGACTAGGGCAGGTGCTTCTATAATTTGCCCAAGGTTATGCGCAAGTAGTAGAAATGGGATTTGAACACAGATGGTCTGATTATAAGCCTGCTCTCTTGAAATGGAAATATATTTTCAAAATTAAGGTTTAAAAGTATTTTTTGATGAATCTGTCCAAATGTAAACCCACAATCCATCATTATAATCATTACAAACAACCTCATCTCCTTGCTTCTCTCTCACCCATGGCAAATCCCAGGCCTGGATCTACTAAATTACTTGCCTTTTCTGAACCTAAGCAGCTGTGGATGAATACAACTGAAGAAAATTACTCAGACTGATTTTACTTTAAATATTTGATTCAAATCTCAAATGTCCAACTTCTTGGTAATTGCACTACATTCCCTAATAAACTTGCTTTCTCAGAGTCTAAGTAATTTCCAAGTAAAGCCTTCTTTCCCATACCAAAACTAATTTTCCCTCCCTGTTTTAGTATCATTTGACCTTACCCCCACACTTCATTGAAAAACTAAAAACCACTAGATTAGGACTCCTTCATCTTCCTACTACCACGTCAGTAATCTTCTCTCCATCTGTCCATTGGTCTTCCTCTCTCCTGTAACTGAGAAGTATCACTGTCCTATCAATGGCTGATTCTTCCCAGATCCTTCCTGTAGAACTTTGTGCTACATTATAGAACAGTAAAGCTATTCTTGACAGAATACAAGTTTTGTTAAACTGCCATATATACACATAGACACACACACACACACACACACACACCCCTCAAATTCACTTTTTCCACTAGTTATCACCCCTTTTTTTCTTCTTCACAAACAAAATAAATGATTTGTGTTAACTGTAAATATGTCCTTGTGTCCCACTCACTACTCAACC